TGTACACGTACAGTAACTAAAAGACCAGCTAATGACCTGCACGTTCTACATTATTTGTTGTACACGTACAGTAACTAAAAGACCAGCTAATGACCTGCACGTTCTACATTATTTGTTGTACACATACAGTAACTTGTTACTGGAACAGATTGTTTACGCTAGGTATAATTCAAACTGATTTAACAGCGTGTTTGGAAGTGATATGATGGGTAAATTGTTAGGAGTTAACTAAAAGTAAGATAGTTCTCGAGTATCTGTAGGTGAATATAAAAACAAAATAGAAACATCAAAATTAGAAATTAACGGAGAAAGTGAAGTGTAAGTAAGGAAATCATCGTTACGTTACATTTAAGGACTCTCAACAAACCTTTATGTAACTGGTGTAAAAAAGCTACTAGTGACTGTAAGTCAGCTGGTTTGGTTAATAAAGTAAGAAATTTGGTTAATAAGTTTCACCATACATTTCTAAGAAACTTTTTAGTCTAGTGTAAACCAAGGTTTCATCTTGTGCCTTGATGTATAGTATGTGATTTTTCCAGATTTTTGACAGTGAGAAAACATTTTCCTTTTTTTTTTATAGGGTTATGTTCCGGCATTTGTCAGATTGGGTCCTCACACCATCATCACATTCATTGTCTTCGAACAGCTGCGACAGAAGTTTGGTTTTCTACCTCCATCTAGGGAGTAAATAATCCTCTGAGTCAAACTTCTCAGCAATATTCAAAAATCGCCGAAGTTGTGCGCCAGTAATATTAGAACTCTCTTTGGTCTTCAGAGTTATGATTTGAAAAAGTTGTTGTTGGTTTATTAAGGAAAAACTAATATTTTTGATGAGAGATTAGTGTTTTAACTTTAGGTGCTTTTAAAAATTATTTATTATATTTTATTTAAGTAACTCAAGTCTATTAGATGTTTTTATACTGCTTTTTTAGACATTTGCCATTTCAAGTACATTTTTACCACGACTCATGATTACTGGCACTACATAAAAGACAATTTTTCAAAGTTCTTGTCAGTATTGCCTTCACTAAATAACACAACTGGGAGAAGAACTTTCAAAGAGGAGATCCTTGGGAATGTGACACAAATAGGTAGAAAATAAGTGTAAGGTACGTTGTACTCTGTCCTGGTGGTTCTTCGTTTGGAAGTCTCAACATGAGATAAGTCTAAGGTACATTGTACTCTGTCCTGGTGGCTCTTCTTTTGGAAGTCTCACATGAGATAAGTCTAAGGTACATTGTACTCTGTCCTGGTGGCTCTTCTTTTGGAA